GGGGGGGGGGGGGGGGTTGTGAGAGGGTACCGCCCACAACTTCTTAAAATTGCTAAACACTGGTTAAGACAATCCAGCCACTATGGGTTTATGGCTTTTTATTTTGTGCCTAAAAAATAGAAAGCTGGCCAATATTTTATTTATATTTATATTTTATTTATATTTCAAATTTGTCACCGCCCATCTCCCTGTGGAGTGACTCTGGGCGGTATAAAGAGCAGTCATCAAAATGAGGCCCTTCAAGGCATCCTGGCTGCACCCTGAGCTGGCTGAAGTTTTCTAAGGCACTACAGCCACCTAGACTGAATACTACCAGCGCCCTGGTTGTGGGGGCCAAACCTTTATTGAAAAATTTCTCTTCCTCTCAAGGAAACGGAGATGAGCACGAAACCCAAGGCCTGCTTAAAGTCACCGCAAAAACATTGAGTCAGCTTTGTGTTTAAGGGAACTGTCCTAAAGGCTGGAAGTCGGGTCCTGACAAATGAAGCATTCTTGGGAAGAGAAATGTCACAATGGCATTATCAGTTACAATCAGGCAATGGGTTCTTTGGGGACTTTCCTTTTCTGGATGCAATTAAGAAAAAGTGACATATATCTGGGGTGCTGGACAACCGTCCGTCAGAACATAGGAACTGACTAGATCACCTTTAAGATTTCTTCTGACTCTTGTATAACATCTTTTTTGATTCTACAATTTCAGGGCATGAGTGTGTGTGTGTGTGTATATGTATATGGACACTCAGGGATGTATAAAACTGTAGAGCACTTGAAAGATAGACAATAGGATGGAAGATCTACTCAGAAGCTACAACTCGTCCAGAATGAGTATTAATTTATTTATGGAACATATTTCTATGCTGCCACAATTAAAACAACTCTCAGCGGCTCATGCAAGAAAAATAGAAGAAATATAATCATTATTATTATGGTTATGATCAATATTATTTATTAAACTAGTAGGCGGCTCAACTCTCAACGACTCTGGGCAGCTCACAACAATCAGACAAAGAAATTACAATAAAATCAAGAGATAAAAGATGGCAAGTGTGATGAAGCGAGGGGTCTCCCTCTCCCTCTCTGAAGGCCTGGGTGAATGTAAAACATATCCAACACAAAACCAATAACAGCACTACAACAATACAAACAGAATAAAAAGATAGCAAAATCAAATCAAGTCAAATCCAATCAAGGCTCTCTGAACCAGACTGGTTTTCAAGCGCTTCTGAAGCCCAGCAAAGAGGGAGCCAGTCTGATCTCCAAGGGGAGGCTGTCCCAAAATGCTGGGGCTGCTGGAGCACTGCCTTGCTTCAGCCCCCAAAACATTCCAAAAGTGTGGCATATGCAGCACAACCTCCCTGGCAGATCTAATTGGTTGGGCCAACTAGTAGTGGGGGCTTGTCAATGCACCATGGAACACCAACACTCTGCAACCTCCACTGGTTACCAGTATGTTTCTGAGCAAGATTCAAGATACAAACCGGGTTATATTGAGTCTATATTGAGTCTCCAAGTATATCTGTCTGTCTGATAAGATCTGAAAGGATGGCCATGCTCCGCAATGCTGGATTAAAGCCAACTGATGCCCTAAGCACAGACCACCAATGGTGCCCCTCAACGAAAGAGAAACTCTACACCATGAGACAGAAACAAATGTAGTATCTGATGAAACTTTCAAACCAAACTTATACACTTTAGTCATTCACCATGCCAAAGGAAACATTTTTTTTTTTTGGAATAATGCAGATTCAAGTCAAATAAGGCAGATAAGAATCATTACAAAAAGTTCGACTACAGGTAGTCCTCACTTAATGACGGTAATTGGAACCGGCAATTCCATTGCTAAGCGATGCGGTCATAAAATGCTATGTTATGTGAGTGTGCCTACTTTTGATGGCAGTTCCGGCACTTGAGCTTGCTATCGTTAAGCGAATCCCATGCAGTTGTTAAGCGCGATGTCATGTCACCGTGACTTGCGACTTCCTGCTGGCTTCCCCATTGACTTTGCTTGTTGGAAGCCAGCAGTGAAGGTCACAAATGGTGATCACGTGATGTGGGACACTATGACCGTCATAATTGCACTGCAGTCGCCAAGCACCCAAATCACAATAATGTGACTGCAGAGACACTGTGATAGCTGGAACTTTGAGGACCAGTTGTAAGTCTCACTTGTCCAGCGCCATCGTAACTTTGAATGGTCACTGAATGAGTGGTCATTAAATGAAGACTACCTGTAAAGTTGAGTGTGGCAGTGAAAGAGTTAAAACCATGATGATGATGATGATGATGATGATGATGGCGATGACATGCCTTCAAGTCAGTGTTGACTCCTGGAGGCTGCATAGACAAGTCCCTGCAGTTTTTTTGGCAAGATCTTTGGATGTGGCTTTCCCTTGCCTCCTTCTTCCTAGAGCTGAGAGAGGGACTGGCCCAAGGTCACCCAGCTGGCTTTGTTCCTAAAGTGGGACGAACTCACGGTCTCCCGGTTTCTAGCCTGATGTCTTAACCATTACACCCAACTGGCTCGCTCCTGTACCTTAAACAGTGTCATCTGGCGACACCCACGAGACACACCTTCTCTGTCCCTGTGGCTGTGCCTGCCCAATGGAACAGCCTTTCCTACAAGGTTGGGATGGCCCTGACCCTGCCTGCCTTTCAGAAGCTCCTAAAACCTGGCTTCTCCCCCAGGCGTTGGGTCAGGAGGTGCTGAGTGCTGGTCTTGGTCTTTTGGTTGGGTTGTGTTTTACTGGGGGCGGTGGTGGTTTCTTAACGATCTTCAAATGTTTGATGTCACTGTTTTGGTTTTATCTTGTACGCTGGCCTGAATTGCATGCAATTGGGCAGCTACGTAGATCAAGTTAATAAATAATTAAATTAATAAATAATAGTAGGTGAGTAAGTAAATAAACCAGAAGTGCAGAATCGGTTAAAATATATGTTCCTCCACAGAAGCAATTCCTCCATAGAACTTCAAGTGATGTTCTATGTGATGTACCGATTCCACGTTCCACAGACTATGCAAACCCAGGCCATGCGATTAGGTAATTGTTCACTGCAAAGTATTGGATTAATTGAACAAACCAAGACTATATTAACCATGGGCACATGTGTCATGCCAACAGAGAAACTAGAATTTCTGTATTGCTTTGCTAATTCTTTGCATTTTGGATATGCTGAGATTTATATGGTTTCGTTTTCAAAGCATCATTCTCTCTTAGTCTAAAATATGTCAAGAAGGGAAATTACAAATTTGGCAACTTTTCAAAATAGCATTTTGTACCTAAATAGTATGTTGGAATCACTACAATTTCCAAATAAATCTTGATTTGCTGGACTATTTGAAACTCATTAAGTGCATTTCATCTGATTTGAAAAGAAAATATTCAGTACTCTTAGATATGCTTTGGGCTACAGGAAGAAAAGTTAAGATATTTGTACAG